AACATTTAGACTTAAATGTTCTGCTTACTGTGCCACCCACCCATACAGAGCGCTGACTTTAGCTTCAAACAACAGCAATGAGATTCACTGTGTGACGTTTACATGGCACTTCGGCTAGCCTACCTGCTTACTGTAAATCAGCTCTGCCTGACTGCATGGGACAAGCACTAGTATGTTACCGTGCCCGCTCCGCGCCGGGATCCCGCGGATTTTCATAGGTAGAACTTCTTGGGAGGCGGTCACCGGAGAAGGCGCGAACGCTCATATGTATATCCATCTGCTTCGGCAGCAACTCTCCGAATCGGACTCCGGTCACGTGCGTAGTATGAAGAGACTGGGGCTGGTGGAGGAGGGAGGGGAGGGCGCCGTTATGGGTTGACATTAGAGGGAGGCAGACGCTCTCTCATTATAGCCGTGGAGGAGGACGCTGCTGGAGCAGGCAAGGGGACAGGCGGCGTTCCTCGAAATAACTGCCTCCGTAAGTATTGGCCTGTACTTCTCGTAGTAGTCCACACCGTACGGATCTCTTTCCTCATAAGGCGACCGTGCACCGGGTAGGCTGGGAACGCGCCATAGAGTGAGCCGTTGCCCCTGTATGCTGCTCGCCGCCATACATCTGAGCCATGCTATGTTCTGCAGCAGCATTTACACCATACCCCGGGTGTGGCCCATACCTCATTGCACCCTCATAGCCTGCACCTCTTCTGTACCCTGCCATGTTGCTGCTGTGACCGGAACCTCGGGAAAAACCGTGCACAGGAGCATAGCTGCCACCGTAATCTGGTTCGCCACTGAAGTCCGGATGATAACCCCTGCTGCGACCCCGCCCGCAAATCTCGAGGCATCGTATCCATCAGACTTTGGCTCTGAACCGTGGTAGCCATTTGGTCAAGAGGGCATTCTTTGGACCAGTGGCCTTCCTGCCCGCAACGATAACACCCGATCGTCTCCCATTCCCGGCGCAGTACGCAGGCGGCTAGTCGAAGCTTCACGCTCATCAGTTGCCTTAAAAAGAAAAGACTCAATAGGATTTATACCTGCATTCATATTTCCTGCTGTATCAATCAGCTAAAAGGCTGCATGTATTCCAACAGTAGCAAGAAGACATACTAATGATTTGAGCACTAAAAATATGGTTATTAAGCTGAATCCGTAACTTGAACGCTTCTTAAACCACCGAAAACACAACAGGTAACTAATACGATGTGATCAGTGAGCGTCAATTTCAACTTGTACCCGTGGTGCGGACGTGGATCTCACCGGCGCAACCCGAGATTTATGATCCTGTGAATAAATGCGTGTCAAACACCACGTTCTACGAACAGGACTACGTCATGTCCGTTTTAATCCTGCCCTTAATGGGACTATGCATTTGGTCCGATTTGTACACTCTATGTACTTCAAATCAATACTTGGAATAACCACACAACAGGTGTTTACCTGACGAGTGAGTCATAAATTCCAGTCTGTGTCCCTTTAAGTCCACAACACAGGCGGATATTACCAAAGACATTACGGATACCAGCTTTAAAATGATGTTGGAATTGTCTATTAAAACTTACCTTAGTTCTTTTACTCACCTGCATTTGAGCATAATTTACCCATCAACATAAAACAATATTGATACTACATCTTTAATCTGACTTTAATTAAATCATCAAGCCCAGCCCAAGAGTTCACCTTTAAAAGCTGTGTTGTCTAACTGATTAATGGCTTCCATGGCATCCTCCATTCTCTCCATGTGAACAAAGCATAGTTTTTTACTATGTCACACTCCAACACAGCGCCAAACTCTTCAAACTTGGCCCTCAGCTCCTGGTTGGTACAGGCAATGTTGCCAACGTGCAGTTTGGTGGATCCCCTTGACTTGCCACGACTTAATTCCACGTTCATAGGCTGGCCATTCAGCTCATACTGGTGGAGATTGCGGATGGCTTCCTCTGCCTCTGTTTTGTCATCCATTGCACAAAGCAAAGTTCTTGACAATTGAGCATTCTGCAATCTTGCCATACTGAGAGAAGAGAGAGCGAAGTTCATCTGATGTGGTGTCTGGGGACAAGTTCCCTATGAATATTTTCACCATTGTGCAGGTCCACGTCACTAAAGGAAGAGGAACTTCAGCATTAGTAGCATCATGACTCCGATGACTGAATTGAAACTTTTACCAGTTCATTTAACAAATGCTATTCAGTTCAATTTATTAATATAGCGCCAAATCACAACTCCAAGGTTAAAGGTGAACTTCTGCAATAATGAGTTTCCAGCAGTGTTGTTGAGCAATCACTACTCAAACTTTATGGACTTTTCTCCATTGACAAGGCTTCCTGGGCATGTAGGAGTGAGGACCCCTACTAGTTAACTGTATAGAAAGTCTCCACGTAATCTCATGGGGACAACACGAACAACACTGGTACAGTCCGCACAGAATAGAGTGGCAGCAATACTAACAAAGCCAGCACTCTGACAGTATTTCATTAAAGATAACCCACTCAGCTTTAACGAGTCACCGTATGGGCCTTGAACGTCAACTGGAGAATAACGTAATGGACGCGCTCTTTGGGCAAAAGTTTAAGCGCAACAATTAAAGTTTGACGAAGGAGCTGACCAACAGACAAAGCTGCAGTGGACTGGATTCAGCGGAGCCATTTCTATCGGCTGTTTAGTTTACAAAGAACCAGCGTGGTGTGCGGAGTCCAAAGGAAACGCGCGAACGAGCCATTAGCAAGCACAGCAGTGCCCGCGCGGTGCTTAACCAGACACTGAGCACGCAGCCGAAAAAAGTCGTTAGCGGCACCGCTAAATAACATCACCGCAGCTTATCTGATTACAATGTGCATCAAAACCTGACAAAACACTTACACACTTAAACTTACCGCACTATACTATGCCTGCTTTGGTTACTCTTACGTAACGTCACAACATTCAGGCTGCGGCCTTCACTACACGAGTCGCGAGGCTGTAGCTTGGATATTGGATTAGCAGATCTCTTTTACAGCAAACACTTCTGGAGCAGCTGGAACTGTGGTGCACTGGGTCACTTTCGCAACCGATTTTTGTTCCTCGCAATTACGGGGTAATACAATTCATACCTGTTAAAAGTCGCACTCCTCGTCTCCTCCCTCGGAGAATGAAATGGCGGCTAGCGCGTTGGCAGGCAAATACATACAGCTAACCCCGCTAGCGCTTTTTGGGAGGGACTAGCTAGCACCGAAAGCTAAGCCATGGCGTCTCCACATGCAGAGCAAAGGAAACCAAGGCAGGAGAATAGGCAAGATGGAGGATATACTTCGTGACTACGTGTAAAATAGTTTTTTTCTAAACATTATTATCAGTACTTGAACAGTGACATTTAAGAAATCCGACTTGCTTTGGAAGATTAGCACCTAATCACGCTGATCAAAAGTGAAAAGGTTCTTTCATACAGTCGCTGGATCACATCATTGGGTCTTTGAAAGCATTCATGCGGAGACACACAGCCCACTCAAAGCTGGATCTGTAGTTTGGAGGTCCCATCTCGGTTCGCGGAGCAAAGTTTTCAAGTTAACTGGACTACCACATACAGATTAGTGTCAATGCGTTTCGTCCAATATGTTCTGATATGAAACCTTATTGATAACAACGTAGCGAAAGAGGGGCAATTTCGTTCTGATCCATCCCAGTTTGGGCACAGTGGATCGTCCTGTATACTCTACCATCCGCAGCAGAATAAAACACACATGACCCAAACTGTGGCTCAGCACATAAGGCTGTTTTGGTTTGTCAAAAATAATTTTTATTTCTCCTGGCTTGTCCCGGTGACTTCTCTCTCTTTTAAATGGAACTCTTTTAAATGGAATGGAATTGTTAAGATTTAAATGGAATCTTAACACAATGAAGAGACAGGGGTTAGTGTTTTTTCTCCCTAAAATCTGCACTGAAAAGTTTAATTCAACTGTGGCTCTACATCAATGAAGAGCTTAAAACAAACAAACAAACAAACAAAAAACAGAATTTCAAAGAAATATAGATTTTAAATAGGTGAAGAATGGCCTTTCATGGAGACTTTCTTTTTACAAGACATCGTCTTGAACATTAACCTTGAGCCCCTATTTGGACAAATAACTGGATTTTATTTTCTGATATTCATACTTGGAGCATTTTTAGAACAAAATACCAAAAGCCACACCACTGCATTCATCATACTCAAGTAAAAAACTGAAACGAGCATGACCAAAATAATTTTGGCTTTATTAAAATCATTAACTTCAGATTTTTTTTTAAAAGGTATATTAATATTTTTTCAGCTAGTATGAAAAATACAAACTTCAAATCCACTCATAAGCAAAACAAGGAAAGGCACCTTCAACAGTACACAGGACGTGCCTCACAACTTCTACAGCTCTGCTCCGTCCCCCACAGACTTGTTCCTACTCAGTGTTACATGGATACAATAGAGATCTCACACACCGTGGCTCGTTTCTGTTGTTGGCTACAGGCAGTCAGCACCACTATCATCGGGAAGAAAACCGTTTGTCAGTTACACAATCCATATCAGCTAGCAGTCTCACTTTGGTGTCACTTAGTTGAAGAATTTTAGCCCAGCAGACACCTCAATTATTAGAAAATGAACAAATAGCAGAACCCACAGACACATTTAAATGAGAAAAAAGCTGGAATGTTTATGATCTCCAGGCTTAACTTTGGTTTAAACTCAAAGTATCCCTCTGTAAATGCTAACTGAACGCAGACTGCACACACATCCAATTCCCTGCTGCTGCCTTTAGCCTTTTAATCCACTACAGAGGGAAACGCTGCACCATTCGATTCCACACGTCTGGCTTTACCTGTTATAAATACACATTGAGAGTTACCGCCCCGCATGTGCAGCAATGATGCTGCAGCAATGATGCTGCAGCAATGATGCTGCAGCAATGATGATCATTTGTAACACTTTTTTCTCTTTATCCAAATTCGTTTTACTGACACACATGTCAAATGTGTGAAAGCGCAAATCCAATTCTTCTGTGCAACAGGTAACCTATGCCATTATGTGGAATGAGGTATGCTTCATGCAATCTTAAAAAACAAAACATGTATTAACTGAACAAGAATATGTCTAAATGACAAAGAAAGACCAAAAATTATTATTTGCCGATTTGAACAATTTGCAACAAATGATGAGAGACATGTAAAGAAAGAAAGACTTGGCTAAAACCCGAGCTGAAAACCTGCAGAGTAAGAAAAATGTCAAAGTGTGACATTTGCTAATCGCCCCTTCAGAAAACAAGCTAGGGGAACATGGCTGAAAAGGACGAGTCGTCTGCAGGCCACTGGCATCTCAGATGCCTAGAAGATACGGACACCATTTTCCAAACAGAGTCTCTTTGCCGTACATCAACGCAGACTGAAGGAATCACACTTGAAGTGACGGCAAAGGAAAAGTCTTGCAGTTCACAGACAGACCTAGAAAGAGAGCACAGCATTCCTGAGAAACAGTGCTGACACTTACCACAACTTTAAAAGATTCAGAACGTTAAAAACAGTCCAAGTTCAGACAAACACAGAACCGCGTCAGTGCCCGCTGACTGCTAATGTCTTAAAGTAACGTTATGGACTGTGGTGCTCACCTGGCTTTAGTAAGGCGCATAACGTGATGCATAATGACCCTTGGGTCGTGCAGCTGTGTATGAGCTCCTGGAGGCAGAGGCAGGCGACAGTTGTGTTCGCTCATAGGCAAAGCAGCCGATGGGACAGCTGCTCGTCTGGTCGGGGTGTGCTCACCTGTGTAGCATGCGGCAGGCGCTTGAGGCGGAGGCAGGGCCTGACGCTCAAAGGGATCTACACTGGATGAGAGCTTTGAGATGGAGGAAGGTGGGGGAGGGGGAAGGTAGGACATGCGCCGATCCTCAAAATAGCTTGAGCCAAAAGGATGAGCTCTGTACTTCTCATAATAGTTGACGCTGCTATAGAAATGGTCACGATCAAAGGCTGGTGACCTATCAGCATAGGAGCCTGGTGCTCTGCTGCTGTACCGATCCCCTGGCTCAGAGGCGTAGCCGCTAAGCCTGTGGGGAAGAGGTGGAGGCAACCCACCTACGTAACTAGCCGGACTATATGCAGAGCCACTCATGTAATCAGCTGCTGCAGGTGAGGCCATCCCGTAGCTGCCATAACTTGGGAGACCGTGTGGCGGGGCCTGGGCGCCGCGGCCTCTCATGCCGTCACTGTGGCTACCGTTCCGAGCGACTGGACAGTCTTTCGACCAGTGGCCGTGTTTCCCGCAGACAAAGCAGCCCGTATGATTTCCCATTCCCGGGGCAGTGCGAAGCCGACTGGTGGATAGCTGTACGCTCATCAGCTTGCCTTGTAAGGAAAGAGAAGACACGCATGAGACCGTGGGGACTCTGACACGGAAAGCTTCTTAACGACCATTAAACACGTTAAAGCGACAATGACTGAGAAAAGCGAAAAAACGTGCAGGTGACTGAATGACAGTGCAGTGCCCATTCATCAAGTACACTGCCACTGGTTTTACAAAAGACCTTCCAAACTTGTGATTATTTTTAGTTAACTCGTCAGTTAAAGCAACGGTTATCTATACTCTGTGGAAATACATCAGCAAGAGGACTTTACTTATCCCTACGGCGGCAAAATAGAATCCAAAATCGCATGTACAGAGAAGACAACTTGCACTCCCCTGCCCGAGCGTTCACCTTTGTAGGCTGTGTTGTCCAGCTTACTGATGGCTTCCATTGCATCTTCGACTCGCTCCATGTGAACAAAGGCATAGTCCTTAACAATGTCACACTCCACCACTGGGCCAAACTCTTCAAACTTGGCCCTCAAAACGTCACTAGTGACCTCTTCCCCGAGGTTGCTGACATGCAGTTTGGTGGTGGACTTAGGCCTCCCTTTGCTCATTTCCACATTCATGCGCCAGCCGTGCAGCTGGTGCTGGTGGAGGTTTTTGATGGCCTCCTCTGCCTCGCTCATGTTGCTCATGTGTACAAAGCCGTAGTTTTTGACAGTGTCACATTCTGTGACTTTGCCGTACTTCTCGAAGAGTTCCCGTAGCTCCTCTGCTGTGGCATTGCAGGCAAGGTTGCCAATAAAAATTTTCACCATGATGAATTCTGTGTATCCTAGAAGATCAAGAAATATGTCTGTTAGGAACACATTCCATACTTATTGATCTAAAAGGATGTGAGGGCCATTGCCCATTTCTGTTGGTTAACAATGTCATGAAATTGCTGCCTTATACAAATAAATACAAACTAAATCTAAAAGCAATTGTTCAGCTAATACAAAGGCCTTCGCAAACATTAACAAGGCAGGGCATGTTTGCTTAAACTGTTGAATGTGTTCACACCAAACATCAATGAGGACAGGCCAAAATCAAGTCACATAAAAGGAGAGAATCATTCACTCAGCTTTCACCAGCTTCTTTTATTAGACCGCAGAAGAGTCAACGTGTGGACTGTCTGTGGTGGTCAGAATGATGTCCATGTCAGACACTGGCAGGATAGCTTCTTATTTGTACTCATCACAGGCGATCTGACATGTGTGACTACTTGAGTGGTCAAGTGTACACACAGAGACTACACAATTCATTTAAACTGTAACTACATGTTGCTGCTGCAAAATGATCGGCAGATGAGAAGAGCTGAATTCGGGGCTGTGACAGGAGCTGCTTTGGGGCTGAGTGACATAAACAGACTTTTGCTGAGCAGATGTGCTAACTTTTGTGTGTGTATGCTGTATTTGGAAAAGTACCACCTTCATATTACACTGCCTTCATTTGTCAGCGGAGACATGTCAACATCAGTTTTGCACTCGTAAAGTAGCTAGCTTGTTAGCACTAATCCGTATGTTACATTAATCACACGATAACGAACCCTAACGCCCCAGGTACGTGTTGCTCCCAATTTCTAAACTATGTAAACTGCGTTTAGTTCGCAACTCTTCACCATTCATCCACTGCTATTTATAATTTTTGACTGTAATACGTCCAGGAAGCTAATGCTCGCTAGCCGCAGACTCACTCACTTTGGCCTGTTAATTAATTTTCTTCTTTATTAAACACCACAACGTAAGTTTTACATCGCACACATAAAGAGTCGTGTCACGTCTTCACACCAAAACCCCCAGCTCACCTATAAAGAGACGTAGGCCTCGATACCAATGAATGAACAATGAAATGACGCCACTGTACCGTCCGCGTTCTCTTCTTCTCCTGTTGTTTTGATTGGTAGTTAGCAAACCAGCTTGGAGCCGTTCGCCCTCTACTGGCCTGGAGTGCGAACAAGTCAATCGGCGCCAAAAGTGATCGAGCTCGTTGACCACAGCATATTTTTTTTAACCATTATAAAAAAGGACATTAGATATAAAATTTACTGAAAAAAAACCCTAAAGCATAAGCAATCAGTTCAACCTGCCATGTTGTTGTTGTTTTTGTTTTTTACAAAGGCAGGGCAGCCAGCAGAGCAAAAGGAAGCTGCGACATGAAAATCAAACATGGAGATAAAGGAAAGATGGGAGCAGGAAGGCCCTTGAGTATTTCACCTTATTTAACATTTCTGTACTATTGTTATTTAATAAGATGTTCTTATACAAAGGGTTTCTGTGTGCAAAAAAAGAAAAAAAAAAACAAAACAGAAATGAGCTGCACTTTTGTGGCTTGTACACTGGGAGGCTCCAGTAAAGGTTTGAACCATTGACTGTAGAAAACTGTGTCTACAGGGAGTGCAGAATTATTAGGCAAATGAGTATTTTGTCCACATCATCCTCTTCATACATGTTGTCTTACCGCAAGCTGTATAGGCTCGAAAGCCTACTACCAATTAAGCATATTAGGTGATGTGCATCTCTGTAATGAGAAGGGGTGTGGTCTAATGACATCAACACCCTATATCAGGTGTGCATAATTATTAGGCAACGTCCTTTCCTTTGGCAAAATGGGTCAAAAGAAGGACTTGACAGGCTCAGAAAAGTCAAAAATAGTGAGATATAGTGAGGGATGCAGCAGTCTCAAAATTGCAAAGCTTCTGAAGCGTGATCATCGAACAATCAAGCGTTTCATTCAAAATAGTCAACAGGGTCGCAAGAAGCGTGTGGAAAAACCAAGGCGCAAAATAACTGCCCATGAACTGAGAGAAGTCAAGCGTGCAGCTGGCAAGATGCCACTTGCCACCAGTTTGGCCATATTTCAGAGCTGCAACATCACTGGAGTGCCCAAAAGCACAAGGTGTGCAATACTCAGAGACGTGGCCAAGGTAAGAAAGGCTGAAAGACGACCACCACTGAACAAGACACACAAGCTGAAACGTCAAGACTGGGCCAAGAAATATCTCAAGACTGGTTTTTCTAAGGTTTTATGGACTGATGAAATGAGAGTGAGTCTTGATGGGCCAGATGGATGGGCCCGTGGCTGGATTGGTAAAGGGCAGAGAGCTCCAGTCCGACTCAGACGCCAGCAAGGTGGAGGTGGAGTACTGGTTTGGGCTGGTATCATCAAAGATGAGCTTGTGGAGCCTTTTCGGGTTGAGGATGGAGTCAAGCTCAACTCCCAGTCCTACTGCCAGTTTCTGGAAGACACCTTCTTCAAGCAGTGGTACAGGAAGAAGTCTGCATCCTTCAAGAAAAACATGATTTTCATGCAGGACAATGCTCCATCACACGCGTCCAAGTACTCCACAGCGTGGCTGGCAAGAAAGGGTATAAAAGAAGAAAAACTAATGACATGGCCACCTTGTTCACCTGATCTGAACCCCATTGAGAACCTGTGGTCCATCATCAAATGTGAGATTTACAAGGAGGGAAAACAGTACACCTCTCTGAACAGTGTCTGGGAGGCTGTGGTTGCTGCTGCACGCAATGTTGATGGTGAACAGATCAAAACACTGACAGAATCCATGGATGGCAGGCTTTTGAGTGTCCTTGCAAAGAAAGGTGGCTATATTGGTCGCTGATTGTTTTGTTTGTTTTTGAATGTCAGAAATGTATATTTGTGAATGTGGAGATGTTATATTGGTTTCACTGGTAAAAATAAAAAATTGAAATGGGTATATATTTGTTTTTTGTTAAGTTGCCTAATAATTATGCACAGTAATAGTCACCTGCACACACAGATATCCCCCTAAAATAGCTAAAACTAAAAACAAACTAAAAACTACTTCCACAAACATTCAGCTTTGATATTAATGAGTTTTTTGGGTTCATTGAGAACATGGTTGTTGTTCAATAATAAAATTATTCCTCAAAAATACAACTTGCCTAATAATTCTGCACTCCCTGTATATGTCAGGTCGGGTATCAGATGCCACCTCTCTGGGGACATCTCAGGCCCTCTAAGGCATGGAGGCCTATCTCCCCCCACCACTCCCCCTGCCAGTGGCAGACGCCTTCAGAAATGGTTCTTTGTGTCCGGGGATGGGCGTCCAGGTACACACCAGTTCACTCCTGGTGGCTGCTTGTCGGGGCCTGGAGCCTGGGGGTGGGGTGCCCTCGGCCTCTTGGCCTGGGGCTCGGTCACTCAGGCACAGCTGATGGAGCTCACGGGCACGTCGCTGCAACCCCCCCTGGCTTCTGCTCTGCGGCTGACCCCTCATCTGGGACTCTCCTCAGCTCTTTCCGGGACAGTGGCACGGTTGCCCCTCTGTTGATCTTCCTTGGTCTCTTGTGTTCTGAGGGCCTCTGGATGGCTGGAGCCTGGATCTCCTCCATACCTGCTTCATGCCCTGGAGGACGGGGCTATGGCCCCCCCACACCCTCTAGCAGATCATTACATGAAGGAACCTTTTAAATACAAGCGCGTTCATGCTCACAGGTGTACACACGGGTGCTCACACACACAAACTACACCCTTTTTGGCTGCTACCTCAAAGCACACTGTGCTCTGTCAATTTTACATTTTACACAATAATATTCAATATTTAGTATTTACAGTTATATTCACATAGATCATCGCAATGATGTTGTTTATTATATTGCTCTCTTTTTCTTTGCTTGTTTTCTATTTTTTCTTTCAACAGGTGATCCAGGTGATTGATAGATGGATTTTTTGTCTGTTTGTTTTGTGGGTTTTTGTTTTTTGCCCTTTATCGCCGTCCCTCTTCCCCACTGTTTTTCTTTCCCTCTTCCTTTTCCCCAGTCAAGTCTGTCCCATGTTCAGCAAGTGAAAATAAAATAAAATAAACAATAGAAGCAAAGGTGAATCAAATAGACCAATAGGCTGGGATGGTCCATTTGGTAAAGTAAATCCGTTGGGCATCTTTCTTTGCCTTTAGACAATAATTCTGATGGCAAAAGAATCTAACAGTACAGGCGAGGGGAAAACAAAAAAGATTACGGCGATTGAATAATGAGCTTGGGGGGGGAGAGAGACGTCGTCCTTGACAACTTCCTACCAGACCCGTGGAAGTGGAAGCTTCAGTGAAGAAAGATTCCTGCTCCCAGCCGTTCATTGGCTCGGCATTTTAAACCCCTAAAGGGTCACCTGGCCTGTAAATAAACAGGGCCAATAAAAAAAATCACAACAATAATACAAACATTTCCACCAGTTTATCTTAATACATTAACTTATTCTTGTGTACACAGTAATTCATAAATAAATAATGTATCAATAAAGATTGATCTAAACAGTTTAACTGCTATGTGCAGATAAAGGTTGCATAGCTTTAAAACATTTGCTATCCAGCAAATATCAGTCAAACTCAACACAAAAGGAAACATAACAATGGTTCAAATTGTTTGGACCGGTGATCCAAATTAACTGGCGTTGGTCAAACAGATGTGTGGTAGACTTACTCTGAAGGAGCTGCTACCGACAAACCAGCAAATAAACACCAAATATTTCATCTGTGATGTTTGTGAGGTTTCCTCAAACACACTCCGTCAGTCTTGTTGCTGTTGAACGACAAACTATTTAAAAATGTCGCGGGTTTACCTGGTCATATTCTCATTCACGGGGCGATCGCCAAAACAAAAGCAAACCATTAACACCACGCCGATGCTGTTCACAGGACAGCAAGAGTAACGATCAGGAGCATCTGGTCTTCGTTATCGTTCCCCTCGTACGTGTTATTACTGCGATTTCAGCGTTTTCGCTTCACAACTAAAGTGTGCAGTTTACTTTGTGTGCACTCAAATGGAGTCAAGTCAATTAGCGCCACCTGTGGTCAAGTGCCATAGCCTACAGCCAGATGAACTTGTGACACACATCTGCAGTAGAGGCTGAGTGGCTGCTCTCACACCTGGAGCATCCAAATCGACCCACAAACACGCTGAAAGATGCAATGCCATCAATGTGGATTGTCAAGACTGAGAGACCTCTTCCTCTGACCCTCCCCAAACCCTCAAACCCTCCTACCCACCTCGACATACAAACTCTGTGTGGCTTCACGTGTTCTGTTGATGTTTACATGATCGAAATAACTTGAACACAAACACAAACAAACAAAGAGGAAGACCGCACCGGAAGGAAACAACTACAAATCCCAGCATCCTCTGTGTTTAGGGAGCAGCAGTGAAAGTGAAAGCAGGAGGAGGAAGGTGGAGCTGAGGCAGGTGAGTGTTAACATGAATATATTTCTTCTTATGACATAAAATAATTCCACGCTGTTCGTGTCTGTGGGTGAAATGTGAGGCCGGTCGGCTCCTCTGAGCGCTGGTTTCCTGTAAGTAGAGAGGAAGTGAGTTTAGCTGAGCCTCCGTTTAGTGTGAGAGAGCAGGAGGAGAGTGAGAGCTGTGCTGAGGCAGGGTGAGTGTTAACACCGCTCTGACATTACTGTGTCTCTGTGGCGGGAACAACAGGCTCCGTCAGTGGAGGCAAAAATAATCTCAAGTTATTAGCCAATAAGCGTGCGGATTCACAGAAAGCCCGCCTTTATCACGGGACTTTAAAAACCACATTGGCGACAGAAACTCCGTGAGTGGAGTTCAGGGTGACGTCATGAATCTGTGACGTTTGAGCTGTTGTGATATTTTGATACCACGGTAGCATTTACAGGATATTGCTTGTAGTGAAAACTGTTACTCAATAAGGCCCATTTACTAGTTGTTTTTCTCTTTCTCTCTGACCCAAGAATTGATGTGTAAGAATCACAGGCTGGTACCCCAAGGTCGAAAATACCACAGAGACGAGACCACTTCCTTACTCCCATCCTCCCTTCTTTATCTCTTAGAAAAAGGCTCGTTAAAGGCCAGGTGGTTTGTTTCAGAATTCACTAATGAAAGAACTCTGTATTCTATGTCTAGGAGTGTA